GCATCTGTTCTCTGCCCAGAAAAGAGGGAGTGAAGGTCCAGGCTTATTAAGGCTTATCTGTTCAGTCGGACTGGGGAGAGGGAGGGGTATGGAAGCCACAATTGGGATGTACAAGGAGTGCCTGCGGGAGTAGAGACCTGCCATATGTTGCTATAGTCTGAGGCAGGTCATGAGCTCTCCCAGAGGAATTAGCCCTAGGTCATGGACCCCTAGAAAAAGGCAAGCTGCACAGGCTCACAGGAAGTTGGTTAGTGATATGCACCTGCTCACAGGTTGGCAGTCACTGAAGCCACCATCACACCCACCTCTGGGGTCACAGACCCCAGCCTTGTCTCACCCACACTTCTGGCACTCATGACAGCCTTGGCAATAGCAGGTTGACAGGTGTGCCAATCTCTGGGTTTGCAGACCTCAGCCAGCTCATCCCACCTATGGCACTTGTGAAGGCAGGATCCTGTAATCTGAGAACACTTAGAGTTACAGGATCCAAGAAGTTAGAGATTCCCCTAACAATGATCTCTTACTCTCTGGCAGGTGCAGAATTTTCCCTGGAACCCCTCAGCTTTGTCATGTTAGTCCCTCAGAGTTTCTTCACAGCAGTCAACCTCAGGCTTCTCCATGGGGTCCAACCCCCAAAGCCTGAGCCTCAGCACCCAGCACCAATTTTGCAGCAGTGGACTTATATACAGCTTCTTGGTTGTGAGTTGCTAGTCAGCACTGATCTCTCGGCCAAATTCTCTCCTCTTTGTCTTCCACACACTTGTAGCTGCACTTCCCCTCTGAAGTTCTGAAATTTCCCCTGGTTCTTGCCTGTGAGAAGGTTTCTGAGTGTGCAGAAACTTTTCCTCTTTCAGAACTCCCTCCCCAAGGTGAAGGATCCAAAGGATGCAATTTCAGCCAAGGGAATAAATTATTATAAGAGGCCTTTTCCGTTGCTCTTATTTACATTGTCTTATACAAAAGCTTTATCAGCTGTGTAGAAAAATTTGACAAAAGCAGGTAAGAGAGAAGTTAAAGGGTAAACAAGAGCACTTAAAAATTTTATTTAGTTTTAATTGAAGGATAACTGTCTTACAATATTGTGTTGATTTCTGCCATTCATCAACATTAATTAGCATATGTATATATATGTCCCCTCCCTCTTGAAATTCCCTCCCACCTCCCACCTCCCACCCCATCCCAAATGTCTAGTTTGTCACAAAGCATGGTTTGAATTTCCTGCACCATACAGCAAATTCCCACTATTTTACATATGGTGATATGTATGTTTCCATGTTACTCTCTCAAGTCATCCCACCCTCTCCTTCCCACATTGTGTCCACAAGTCTGTTCTCTATGCCTGCATCTCACTGCTCCCCTTCAAATAGGTTCATCATTATCATCTTTCTAGATTCCATATATGTGCATTAATATATGATATTTGCTTTTCTTTTTCTGATTTACTTCATTCTGTAGAGTAGGCTCTAGGTTTATCCACCTCATTAGAACTGACTCAAGTGCATTCCTTTTCAAGGCTGAAAAATATTCCATTGTGTATATATATACCACAGCTTGGTTATGCATTCATCTGTTAAAGGACATCTAGGTTGCTTCTATGTCCTAGCTTTTGTTAACAGTGCTGCAATGAACATTGGGGTACATATATTTTCTTCAATCATGGTTTTCTCAGGGAATATGCCCACTAGTAGGACTGTTGGGTCATTTGGTCATTTTATTCCTAGGTTTTTAAAGGAATCTTCATACTGTCCTCCAATACTTTGGCCACTTGATATAAAGAGCTGACTCACTGGAAAAGACACTGATGCTGGGAAAGATTGAAGGCAGGAGGAAAAGGGGATGACAGAGGATGAGATGGTATGATGGCATCACCGACTCAATTGATATTTGAGCAAACTCTGGGAGATAGTGAAGGACAGGGAAGCCTGGCATGCTGTGATCCTTGGTTTTGCAAAGAGTCAGACACAATTTAGTGACTGAACAACAAACAGTACTGTTCTCCATAGTGGCTGTATCTATTTACATTCCCACCAGCAGTGCAAGAGGGTTCCCTTTTCTCCCCACTATCCCCAGCATTTATAGCTTTTAGATTTTTTGAGGATGGCCTTTCTGACTGGTGTGAGGTGATACATCATGGTAGTTTTGATTTGCATTTCTCTAATAATGAGTAATGTTGAGCATCTTTTCATATATTTATTAACCATCTGTATGTCTTCTTTGGAGAAACGTATTTAGGTCTTATGCCCACTTTTTGATTGGATTGGTTATTTTTCTGGTGTTGAGCTGCTTGTATATTTTGGAGATCAAGCCTTTGTCAGTTGTTTCAGTTGCTATTATTTTCTCCCATTCTGATCTTGTCTTTTCACCTTGTTTATATTTTCCCTTGCTGTGTAGAAGCTTTAAGTTTTATTAGATCCCATGTATTTATTTTTGTTTTTATTGCCACTACTCTAGAAGGTGGATCATTGAGTATCTTGTTGTGATTTATGTCAAAGAGTGTTCTGCCTATGTTTTCCTCTAAGGGTTTCATAGTTTCTGGTCTAACATTTGGGTCTTTAATCCATTTTGGGTTCATTTTCCTGTATGGTGGTTTCATGTTTGGTTTTCATGTTTGTTTTCATGTATGGTATTCTAATTTCATCCTTTTACACAAAGCTGTCCAGTTTTCCCAGAGCCATGTATTGAAGAGGTTGTCTTTCCCTCATGGTATATTCATGCCTTCTTTGTTGAAAATAAGGTGTCAGGATATAGTGCATGGGTTTATCTCTGGCATCTCTCTCTTGTTCCATTGATCATTATTTCTCTTTTGTGCCAGTGCCATACTGTTTTGATGACTATAACTTTGTAATATATTCTGGAGTCAAGAAGCTTGATTCCTCCTGCTCCATTCTTCTTTCTCATGATTGCTTTGGCTATTTGGGATCTTTTGTGTTTCCATATGAATTGTGAACTTTTTTGTTCTAGTTCTGTGAAAAATGCAATTGGTAATTTGATAGGGATTGCATTTAATCTGTAGATTACTTTGTGTGGTATAGTCATTTTCACAATATTTATTCTTCCAGTCCTGAAATGTGGTATACTCTCCATCTTTTAATGTCATCTTTGATTTCTTCAGTTCAGTTCAGTCGCTCAGTTGTGTCCGACTATTTGCAACCCCGTGAATCTCAGCACGCCAGGCCTCCCTGTCCATCTTAGACAAGAATATTTTGAAAACCTATACCAGAACATTCTCATGTGTCTCCTTGATTGATAGTTGCTTCAGTTTTCTAAAAAGCTTCCTAGGATTGCTTTAGGCAAATATAGTTCATAAGCTTAAAAACATTCTTAGGAGGAAGAATCTTCACTAGTGCAAGTTGCCAATATAATATATTAGTTTGTTAACATCCCTAATTAAACTATGATAAATACATATCAATCTGCTTACATGTGTCATTTTTTAAAGATTTTCTTAAAAATTTCCTGTAAGTCTACAATTCATTTTGCAGTTTTGTACATAAGCAACCTTAAGCATTAAGCTTAAAGCATTAAATCCTTTGGATTAAATTTTTTAAAAATTAATCATATACATTTATTGAATCATTAAATGACAATCTCTAATGGCAAGTCTAATACTACTGTAATTTTTGAAATTAAAATATTTTATTTTTAGAAACATTTTGGGTTTACAAAAACTGAGCAGAAAGTACAGAATAGATTTATTTTAAATAGGTGCCAGAATTTTTTTACCTTCTAAATTCTAATTATGATCAGCTTCATTGTTATTATCATCATTCTAATCATCAGATTCTCTTCATTCTTTTTTTTTCTTAAAGTGTTTACTTTTGAGACAGAAGTGTTACAGGTACACATGGGAAAGCAATACATGATCACAGTTGAAAGTGAAGACAATCTAGTCAGAAAGTTTTTACACCTGTCAGCTAGTGCTGAAGCTCTGATTACGATATGCTGCAGGGCTCAAAGAAATGGTAATTAGTATTCCTCTCCTTCCTCTCCCTTTCCTTCAACAGAATCCACACCAACCTCCTCATAATCTTTCTCAAGGGCAAGCATGTCCTCACAGGCCTCAGAAAACTCTCCTTCCTCCATGCCCTCACCCACATATCAGTGAACAAAGGCATGCTTGGCATACATCAGGTCAACTTGTGGTCCAGGCAAAGCTCAGACCTCAGTGATGGCTGTGGTGTTGCTCAACATGCACATAGTCCACTGGACTTTGGTCAAATCTCCACCAGGTACCACAGTGGGAAGCTAGTAATTAATGCCAACCTTGAAGTCAGTGGGGCACCAGTCCACAAAATGGATGATGCACTTGGTCTTGATGGTGGCAATGGTGATACAACATCTTTGGGAACCATGTCACCACAGTACAACAGGCAGCAGGCCATGTATTTACCATCACGAGGGTCACTTTTCACCATCTGGTTGGATGGTTCAAAGCAAGCATTGGTGATTTCTGCTACAGAGAGCTGTTCATGGTAGACTTTCTCCACAGAGATGGCAGGGGTGTATGTGGCCTGAGGGAAGTGAATGTGGGGATAGGGCACCAGGTTGGTCTGGAACTCTGTCAGATCCACAGTCAGGGCTCCATCAGACCTCAGGGAAGCAGTGATGGGGGACACTATCTGGCTAGTAAGGCAGTTAAGATTCATGTAGGTTGGGTGCTCAATATCAAGGTTTCTACAACAGGTGCCATAGATGGCCTCATGGTCTACCATGAAGGCACAATCAGTTGCTCCAGGATGGTGTGATGGTGAGGATGGAGTTGTAGGGCTAAACTACAGTTGTGGAAACCTGGGGGGCTGGGTAAATAGAGAATTCCAGCTTGGACTTCTTGCTGTAATCAATGGAGAGATGTTCCATCAGCAGGGAGGTAAACCCAGAACCTGTTCTCCCACCAAAGCTGTGAAAACCAAGAAGCCCTGAAGACCTGTGCACCAGTCAGTCAGTTTCCAAATTTGACCCAAGACAAGGTCAATCATCTCCTTGCCAATGGTATAGTGACCTCAGGCACAGTTATTGGCAGCATCTTCTTTGTCTGTGATAAGCTGTTCAGGGTTGAGGAGCTGGAAGTAGTTTCCAGTGCGAACCTCATCAATGACTGTGGGTTCCAGGTCTACAGACACTGCCCTGCAAGTACCTGCCTTGCTGAAGAAGGTGTTGAAGGTGTCATCTCCTCCCCCAATAGTCTTGTCATTTGGCATCTGGCCATCAGGCTGGATGCTGTGTTCTAGGCAGTAGAGCTCCCAGCAGGCATTGCTAATCTGAACACCAGCCTGGCCAACGTGGAAGGAGATGCACTAATGCATGGTGCTATAGGTCAGCAGGTGCAGGCAACAGGAGTAGACACCAGGTCCTGGTTACCATCCCCGACATACTAAGAGTCGAGGTAAGTAATGCACTCTGTCTGCACTCTTTAGCTATGTATTCATTATTTAGCTATTTCTCCAGAAGTCTGATGGAAATTCTGAGCTTGATTTTTTTTCTGCCTCTTGCTGTATAAAAGAATAGGCTAGTCAGGCACATTATCAGGACAAAATAAGAATCAAGACAATCTCTCTCATGAATGTTACTAAAGGTACACAGATCCTCAACTTTTGAAAAAAATCTCCTTTTGTAAGTAGGTAAAAACCAGAGGAATTGACAGACTCCCAGATACCACTCAAGATCCTTGTTGTTTAGTCACAAAGTCATGTCTGACTCTTTTGCAGCCCCATGGACTGCCAGGCTCTTTTGTCCATGGGATTTTCTAGGCCAGAATACTCAAGTGGGTTGCCATTTCCTTCTCCAGAGGATCTTTCCAATCCAGGGATAGAACCCATGTCTCCTGAATTGCAGGCAGATTTTTTTATCTGTGAGCCATCTGGGAAGGACAAGTTTATTAAAAGACGAATAGGAGTTTGTTTTGTGAAAAATATTAGAGTGCATGCTGCAGAGGGTACAAAATAGGAAAAGAGAATGAGTAAAGTGAAAAAGACCTCAAGAGAAATGACAATTTTTTGATAAAATAATAAAAGGGAAATAAATTCTAATATTACTACTAACTCAAGTTTTTTTTTTAAACTTTCAGAAACAAGGGGAGGCTGTTGTTTCTGGAATGGAGATCCCTCTGGATTTGATAGACAGTCTGAGACTCAGTAGTTCTAACATTAGAACGGAAAGTATATCTGTCACTGTGATCCTTCTTTTCTGCACATAAGGAAAGCAGAAATGCTTAAGAAAAATACAGAAGCGTAACTCTGCTAACAGCATTGATATCAACAGAAGAACAAATCATTCAATGTTATTTTCTTTATTAACTTACTCATGTTGGCCAGTACTCTATCCTCGTATAGGCTCAGACTGGAAGACAGTGGGAATTCAGTCATTGAGAGTTCATCAAGTAACATGCAAACAACAGCCCTTTCTTCTGGTTTCTACCTGTAAAAGATGCCTGGTGATCCATGAAAACAATAATCAGCTTATGCTTTAATGCATTCACATCTTTAGATATATCCAAATAGCATTTTTGCCTTTTCATACTGTTCATGGGGTTCTTAAGGCAGGAATACTGAAGTGGTGAAAAGCTGGCTTAAAACTCAACATTCAGAAAACAAAGATCATGGCATTCGGGCCCATCACTTCATGGCAGATAGGTGGAAAAAAAATGGAAACAGTGGCAGACTTTATTTTTGGGCTCCAAAATCACTGCAGGTGGTAACTGCAGCCATGAAATTAAAAGACACTTGCTCATTGAAAGAAAAGCTATGACCAACCTAGACAGCATATTAAAAAGTAGAGACATTATTTGGTCGACAAAGGTCTGTCTAGTCAAAGCTATGGTTTTTCCAGTAGTCATGTATGAAAGTGAGAGTTGGACCATAAAGAAAGCTGAGACCTGAAGAAGTGATGCTTTTGAAGTGTGGTGTTGGAGAAGACTCTTGAGAGTCCCTTGGACTGCAAGGAGATGAAACCAGTTCATCCTAAAGAAAATCAGCCCTGAATATTCATTGGAAGGACTGATACTAAAGCTGAAACTCCAATACTTTGGCCACCTGATGCAAAGAACCGACTCATTGGAAAAGACCCTGATGCAGGACAAGACTGAAGGCAGGAGGAGAAGGGGATGACAGAAGGTGAGATGGTTGGATGGCATCACTAACTTGATGAACTTGAGTTTGAGCAAGGTCTGGGAGTTGGCGAAGGACAGGGAAGCCTGACGTGCTGCAGTCCATTGGGCTACAAAGAGTCAGACATGACTGAGTAACTGAACTGAACTGAAATAACACTTTTAAATCTGGATAATTTTAAAGATTTTTCAATTGACAAATTGATTTCAACTGGAAATCCCATTTGAGAACTGATAATATTAATAAGCCATTGACAACTGATGTTAGTTAAACCCATATTGTTATTTCTTTGAACAGGATTAGATCAGTAAAAATAAGGATGGAAAACAGACAAGCAAACACAGAGCATGTGTACATTTGTATGTATGAGTGAGTGATCATTTACAAAAATCCCTGGACTAAGAACATGAATCCTAGTCTACCCTAAGCTACCATAGGCATCCATCCTGCAGTCTAAGTTCTTATATTGACATTATCAACCCATAAAACTCACAGTTTGTCCAGAAAAGGCTATTAATCGAAGTTCAACAAAAAAGACAAGTGTGCATAGGAAAATATTGACTTTTTGAGAGGTACTCCAGAAGTTATTTCAGAACTAAAGTAAAATTTGAGAGCCCAGAACACAATTCTGCTGTTAAAATGCTTGTAAACCATTGATATTCTTGAATAAATGTATGCTTTCCTCTTCTTCTTCTTTCAATTTCACTTGAGATTTTTAAATTAATTTTTATTAGAGTATAGTTGATTTACAATGCTTTATTATCTGTATACAGCAAGGTAAATCAGTTATACATGTTGCACTTTTTAAAATATTTTCCCATATAAGTCATTACAGAGTATTGACTGGAGTTACCTGTATTATACAGTAGGTCCAGATTAGTAAAGTATTTTATATATAGTAATGTACATATTTCAATACCAGTCTTCCAATTTATTCCTCCCTCCATTTCCTCTTTGGTAACCATACATTTTTTTCTGCACCTGTGACTCTATTTCTGTTTGTAAATAAGTTCAGTTGTGACTTTATTTTTAGATTTCACATATAGGCAATATCATATTTGTCTTTGTCTGACTTACTTCACTCAATATGATAATCTCTAGGTCCACCCATATTGCTGCAAATGGCATTATCTCATTTTTTATGGCTGAGTAATATTCCATTATAGCTATCTATCTATCTATATATATATCAGTTCAATTTAGTCCCTCAGTCATGTCTGACTCTTTGTGACTCCCTGGACCACAGCACACCTCCGTGTTCATCACCAACTCCTGGAGTTTACCCAAACTCATGTCCATTGAGTCGGTGATGCCATCCTACCATCTCATCTTCTGTTGGCCAACTTCTCCTCCTGCTTTCAATCTTTCCCAGCATAATGGTTTTTTCAAATGAGTCAACTATTCGCATCAGGTGGCCAAAGTATTGGAGTTTCAGCTTCAACATCAGTCCTTCCAATGAATACTCAGGACTGATTTCCTTTAGGATACATACCACATCTTTTTTCATTCATCCACTCCTTGATGGACATTTAGGTTGCTTCCATGTCTAGCTATTGTAAACAGTGCATATATCTTTTTAAATTTTGGTTTTATCTGGGTATATGCCCAGGAGTGGGATTGCTATATTATATCGTAGGTCTATTTTTAGTTTTTTAAGGAGCTTCCATACCATTCTCTGTAATGGCTCTACCAATTTACATTCCCACCAACAAAGTAGGAGGATTCCCTTTCCTCTACATCCTCTTATTGTTTGTAAGTTTTTTGATGATGGCCATTCTGAACCATGTGATGTGACACCTCATTGTGGGTTTCCTTTGTATTTATTTAAAAATAATTAGTGATGTCATATGTGTCTTCATGTGTTCTTTGGCCATTTATATGTCTTCTTTAGATAAATGTCTTTTCAGGCCATGTGCCCATTTTTGACTGAGTTGTTTGTGGTTTTAATATTCAGCTGAATAAGCAGCAAAGCTGTTTTTGTGAGCTTGGATATTGGGCCCTGATGGCAAAAGGATTATTTTCCCCTTGTGAAAGATAGAGAGTTGCAGCCTCAAACCTGCCTCTGGTTCATTTATCTTTTCATTACAACAAAAAGTTTGGTCAAGCATTTGGGTTTTCTGAAAGAAACAGTCTGCTTGTCCCTACTTGCTGGGAAGTCAACTGACAGTACAGTTTCAGCTAATCAGGGTAACAACCTATATGGAAGTCAACACTCATAGAACCCTTTCCCAAGACATGTTCACTCATGAAAGGGTGCAGTATGTCCTGTGTATGTCTTTTACACTGCTCAGAAACTGCAGGGCCAGATGGCAAAAGCAGTGCTTTCCCACTTTGAGGCTAGAAAGTTGTAGACTCAAACCTGTTCAAAAAAATACTCTGATTCTTTTATCTCTTGATGTCAGCAACAACTTTTGTCTGCATCTGAGTTTTCTGAATGAAACAGGCTGCTTGCCACTCCTTGCTGGGGTTTTCATATAGTAGAGTTTGGCCTAATCAGGGTAACAACAGGTGTGACAGTCAACACTCACAGAATACTCTCTCCATTCACCTTTACTCATGAAAGTGTGTAGTGTGTCCTAGGTGTGTGATTTACACTGCTTGGAAACTGTAAGGTAAGTAAGGTTAGTTGTTTTTGAGAGTCTGGGTACTGGGCCCTGATGGTAAAGGTACTATTTTCTTCCTGTGAGAGCTAGAGAGTTGCAGTTTTCAAACATGCCAGAAAAGCAGTCTTGATCATTTACATCTTAATTACAGCAAAATCTTTGGCCAAGCATTTGAGTTTTGTGAAAGTAACAGGCTGCTTGTCACTTCTTGCTAGGAAGACATAGATTAGTACAGTTTTGCCTCATCAGGGTAACAACAGGTATGGCAGTCAACACTGAAAGAACACTCCCCCCAGATATCTTTACTCTTAAAATGGTGCAGTGTGTCCTAGGTGTATCTTATACACTGTTCAGAAACTGCAGGGAAAGCTGCTTTTGTGAGCCTGGATCTTAGGGACTGATGGTAAATTCAGTATTTTCCACTTGTGAAAGCCAGATAGCTGCGGCCTCAAATCTGCCTTGAAAAAAACCTCTGGTTCCTGTATTTCTTCATTGCAGCAACAACTTTGGTGAGCATTTGAATTTTTTGAGTGAAATGGACTGCTTTATGGCAAAAACCACTGC